CTGGAAAGAGAGTTGAGGCTCAGGAAGGGGGCTGCCACAGGAAGGGGGCTGCCACAGGCAGGGGCTGCGGGGCTCCTGTGCGGCCCCACACTCACTGTGTCCAGCAGGTAGGCCACCTCCAGGGTTCGGTTCAGCAGGCGCTGGAAGTCAGGGAACCTCCTGACCTGTGGAGTGGGACAGTTGTGGTGAAAGGGGGCGTGTGGTTCCAGCACAGGGCTGAACTGCAGGGGCCTGTGGGCTCACCTCTGAATGGTCAGCTACAATCACCAACTCGATGATTTTGGCTTCTGTGAGCACATCCCGCTTCTGCAGTAGACAGGAAAGATGGAGGGTCAGTCAAACCTGCCTCTCGGCCAGCAGCATCAGTGTTGGCCCAGCTGTGGCCACTCTTCCCTGCATGGTCAGACAAGGGTGGGTGATGAGCCCATTTTACAGATGAAGCATGGAGAGCCAGAGAGGCCTGGGACCTTCCTTAAGTAGACCCAGAACTGGGAGTTGGGCCCTACTTTTCCAATTCCAAACTTAGAAATTTTCCAAATTTTTTTTTTTTTTTGTCTTTTTCATTTTTATCGGTACCAGGGATCAAACTCAAGACCGCCTGCTTGCAAAGGCAGGTGCTTATGCCGCTGAGCTAAATCCCAACCCCAAAATTTTCCAAATTTTTAAAAATAATAAATAATAGGTAATACTATCAAAAGGCATATGATGGGCACAATCCTAAATACTTTACTTTTTTTTTTTTCATTTAATCTTTATAGTAGTCCTGTAAAATAGTACTTTTTTAAAAAAATCTTGTTTTGGTTTTTTGAGATAGGGTCTCACTATGTAATTTAAACTGGCCTTGAACTGTGTAGGCTAGGCTGGCCCCAAGCTCATGGTGATCCTCTTGCCTCAGCCTCCCAAGTACTCAGATTATAAGCATGTACCACCATGCCCCGCCAAAGTAGTTTTATTATTGCTATTTTATAAATAGCAATAGCAATAATAAAAGGCCTGAATAAATAAAGAAATTGCTTTCTGGATAATGACTATGTATTTTCTTTTTCTTCTTTTTCTTCTTCCTTTTTTGGTACCAGGGATTGAACTCATAACCTTGTGCTTGCCAGGCAGGTGCTTTACCAATGTGCTATATCTCTGGCCCCATGACTATGTATTTTCTTTTTTTCTTTTTTGGTACCAGAGATCAAATTCACAACCTTGAGCTTGTCAGGAAAGTACTTAGGCTGCTGAACTAAATCCCCAGCCCATGACTATGTATTTTCTACCCCCAAGTAAGTGCTCTGCACATGGGATTATTCGGCTTCTTCATTCTGGACATGCCAGCTATTAGCAGCATGGCTTTGGGCAAGTCACCTAACCTCTCTGAGCCAGTTTCCTCACTTGAAATAGAGCTACTGTCAGCAACTCCTTCCCAGGGTATCACTATGAGAGGAAAGGGGCAATGTTTACAGAGGGCCTGACTTGTGGAAAAGGCTCCGTCAGCTCACTGTAGTCACTGGGAACTGTATTGTGTGCCAGGTCAGCCCTGCAGACAACCAAAGCCCAGCCCCCCTGCCACCCCTCCTTACCCTGCGGATGTGTCGCTGTCCCTGGGGGAGCTCTGGTGCAGCTGCAGTGGGCAGAGATGCATACCAGCTCAGGGAGCAGGTATGACCTGGCAGAAGGAAATCTTGGCTCCTGAAGACAATGGGAGGCCTCTGAGGGTCCCCAGGCCCCAGCTCCAGGGTGTAGCTTCGCTCTGGGGACAGGACCACCAAGCCCCTAAGGAAAGAGACAGGAAAAGAGAGTATATTTCAGCTCCATATCTGTGTCCCCTCTCCATGGTCCCAGATCCCACCTACCATACCTGAGCCCAGAGCAGGTGCAGATGGAGACCCAGGAGCTCTCACGGCCGCGCACCCTGCCTTGGTAGCAGCAGTTCCCCTACAGCAGAGAGACAGCCGGTGCTGTCAACTCTCCGGGAAGAGTAGCACTTGAACCCAGGAGCCCAGCTTGCTGGTAAAGACACATAATATCCTCCCACTTCCTCCAAGGCTGCCCCTCCAGTTGCCCATCCCTCCTTTGCCAGGCCAGAAGCAGAACATGAGAGGGCTCACCAGAGTGTGTCCCTTGCTGACCACCCGAGTGCCATTGGGCTGGTACCACACTGTGGTTGTGTGGCCTGGGACCAGATCCCTGTGGAGTGAAGGGAAAGGAGGGCAATATCTAAGTTGGGTCAGAGAGTAATGCAGTGACAAGCTGAGGCCTGAGATGGTGGAGGGGAGACTGGGGGCTAGGTCGCACTCCCAACCCCCCATTTGGCCCAGGGCAGCAGAGCAAAAGGGCTGACCCATAGTCTGTGAGGCTTTCTGAGTTTCCATCTATTTTTTTACATATCCTTAGAGGTATGATCCCGGGTGAGTTATTTAGCCTCTTTGTGCCTTGATTTTGTCATCTGTAAAATGAGGATGGACGCTAACACAGGTAGTTTCTACCTTACAGAGTTGTCACAGGGATCATGTGAGTGCGCGTACTTCATGCCTGGTGTGTAGTTAATCCAATGTAAGCTGTTAGCCATGTGCTTATTATTATTTCTGTCATCTCACCTGACCCGTAGCAGCTCCAGAATGTGACTCTCGCCATCCAGCTCCAATTTGACCTTCAGGGCCTCAGGCAAACTTGTCTGTGGGCACCGGAAGGCTTGTCACCCCCCTAGTTTTGCCTGTAGCTCCTACAGGTTTAACTGGAAAACCTCAGGCTCTCAGGAGAGTACCAGTGATTAGGTCATTGGTGGGGGATCCCAAGGGAGGGGTCAGGAAGCCCTGCCTGGCCTGGGGCATTGTTCTGGGGGGTTGTATGGGGAGGTCAAGGAAGGTATCTGAGCCGCCCCTTCTCGGCTTCCTGCCCAGAAAGGAAGCATCATAGAGGACCCAGTGCAGGCTCCAGCCCTTCCTCTGACTCAGCTGTAGAATGGGATGGGGAGGGGGTTGTGAGGGCCTGCTGACCTTTTCCAAATCCCCTCACCAGGAAAAAAGATCATGAGGAGAAAGAAACAAGTCTGGCCTCAGATTCCTGTGTCTATAGATGAGTTGGGTGGTGCTGAGGCAGACAGATGTGTGTGTATAGAGGAGGTAAGTGAAGCCAGGTGCTGGGAGAGGAAGAGAGGCAGCCAGACCTGGAATGGACCTGCTACCATGAGATCTATTTGTTGGCTCATCACCCAAGCTTTGGCCTTGACAGCCCAATTACGCTAGCCGGAGTGGGTGGGCCTATTTGGTACTGGGGGAAGGGAACTCACCTGAAGCATCTCTGCTAGGCTAAACAGGGGGTGGTCTTGGAGGACTTGAGGCTCCAAGGGGCCACTCAAGGTCCTCTCTGGTTTGGCCTTCTGCTCCTTGGTGCCACCTGTAGGGTCTGAGAACACCCCAAGGGAGTGCTGAGGGAACCCCTACCAGGGATGGTGCGGCTGGCCTTGTGTGGTAGTGCTGAGACTCAGTGCACAGAATGAGAAGGCTTCTCTAATGTGTGCTTTCCACCCAGCCAGCTACCAGTCCCAAGAGAAAGAAGTCCAGCTTGCAGCCTTTCCTTGTCCCACTCTGGCCAATCTCAGGTTCTTCCAGGGACCCTCCCCTGCCGCCCCCCCCCCAATCAGGAACGCCCTCTGCCCTTTCTTAGGCCTGGGCGAAGCCTTGTGGCGGGGTGCCCGCTCACCCTCCCTTTCCCTCACATCCGAGATGCCGGGAACGCCCATTTCTGGGTGAGTAGTGCAAACACCCCCACCTCCCAATCACCCCTCATGCCCAGTCAGAGATGACCGCTCCTCTGCTTCCTCCCCAGTGCCCCTTCGTGCCCCTCTTTGCTCTGGACACTCCACACCCCCCATCCCACCCACCCGGCTCCCGGGCGTGCCTACGGCCCACAGCCCAGGACACTAGCGGCCCAAGACAGCAGCGGGAAGTGAAAGTTCCTAGGAGGAGCTGGTGTCCCAGCCTCCTTCCTGACCAGTGCTCTGTTCTCCCCGCTCCTCCCAAGCCCTCCCGCTCAGTCAGGCTGTGGAGGCAGCAGCACCAGGGTGAGGGGTGCCTGGCCAACCCCGCACAGGGATGAAGGGCTGGAGAGTCTTCTTCACTCAAGCTCGCAGCCGTGCCGTGGCCCCTGGCACCGGGTGGAGCGTTTAGCTAGGCCCAGAGGAGCGCAGACGTCAGTCCTGGGGACTGGAGGGGGGATCTTTCCAGCGCTAAGCGGGGCCGCTGGAAGACCCTTGGGGGTCTGGTATCCGAGTTTGAAGGTGCAGCGACAACGCGGACAACCGGCGGGGGACGCCAGCATCACTCCTCCGTCCATCTGCACTCCATCGCCAGGCCAGACTCCTTAGGCCCGGTCTGCACCCTCCGCAGGGCTTTCCATGACTCCAGAACCTCGTACCCCCACCACCGACTTCCCTGCACCTCTCCGCAGCTTGCCCTCCACCCACTTGCAGCCGGGAACTCACCTGTGTTTGGGAGCGGCCGAGAGGGCAGAGGGCTGCCCGCACCTAGAAGCCCCAGGGCCCAGAGCAGGGCCAGTCGCATGGCAGCAGCGCCCGGGCGGTGGGGGCTGCAGGTGCTCAGGGCCGGCGCGCTGAGGAGCCGCGGCCGCCTGGTCTGCTGCGAGGTGCGAGCCGCGCAGCTCAGCCGCCGGGCTCCGCCCACCCTGGCCCTCCCTCCCGGCCACCAGCCAGACTCCACCCCCGGAGCGGCCCCGCCCCGGAGCCGTCTCTAACCCGCCGCGCTCCGCCCCTGGGGAGGCCCGGCCTCGCAGGGTCCTAAAACACCCGTCACGGCCACGGCTTCCCCGGCGCAGCTCAGCGAGGCTGCAGAGAGCCCAGTCCGACCGGCTCGGACGTCGCGCCTTGCCTGCCCTCATCCCGAGTCTGCACCCTTCTCTCCGAGCTTCGCTGCTTTCCTGCCCTGTTAGAGGTTAAGCGGGGGAAGCTCTCGAGCAGCGCCCGGCCCCCTCCCAGATCCCCACGAAGCACAAGCGGCAGGGACAAACGAAGCGCTTTATAAGTGTGTAGCTGGGCGGGAAGCGAGCCATCGCCCTTCACTCCGCGTAGGTAGTGTCGTCGTTGCTGTCACTGAAGGCGGAAGAAGAGAGCTCCTCGCGGGGTGTGCAGACCGGGCACTTCTGCCGCATGTCGTCCCAGCACGACCGGCAATACACGACCTGGCAGTCTGGCGTCGGGCACACGTAGGACTCGGGCGTCTCGGGGGCCTGGCACACCACGCAGCGCCGGCGCAGCCAGCGGCGCAGGACCGGGCAGCGGCGGTGCAAGGTGTCCACCAGGTGGTGGCGCTGTTGGAGACGTGGGTGGTTAGTGCCAGTTGGACAGCGACAAGCGAAAGCACAAGCTACCAGAGGCACTGGACAGCACTTATTGTCTTAAGTCCCCGGACTTGACAAGGCCCACAAGTTGGAGGAGGCTGGGTGGGGCCACAGAGAGCACTGGGGGACGGGGTGTTATGGGTTCTAAGGCCTCCTCCCACTGTCTTGGCGGTGATCAGCGTGGGAGGCTGCAGCTTCCAGGCCCACCCTGCAGCTAGATTAGCAGCAGCTGTCATCTGCACATGTAAAACAGCCTCTGTGTTTCACGGTGAGACTGAGGAGTGAGGCTGTGGATATACACAGTGACTATTGTCCTCACTTTGCAGATGAGAAGGGTGAATCTTAAGTCAGACCTGGCCAGACCCGGTTACCCTGATGCCACATCACTAGCCTTGTTATTATGTCTCCACTGCCACCATACCCTCTGTCTACACAATTGCAAGGAATCCTTCTTCAAGGCACCTTACGAGGCCCAAGCTTTTCTGATGAAAGCTCCAGGGGCCCATTGTCTCCCCAACAAAAGCAATTAACTCCCAGCTTGGTCTTCAGAGCCTTGCATTTTTTCCTTTTCCAGCCTCTGCTCCACCACTGAATTCTGCCTCTTCTGGGTCCAGTTTCTCCTTGGTCTGGCCCTGGCCACCTGGAACTCCCTATGGACTCTGAGTCTCTGTCCATTTTGTTCCCTCGGCTTAGCTTCAATGTCCCTCACACACCTCTCTACTCATTCAAATATTTTACTTCAGGACTAGGCCAAGAAATCCCGATATTTTATTTTTCATCACACATTCATCCATACTTTATTGTGTATCATGAAAATGGAGAGGTCTAGGTACTGAAGAAAACCTAAGCAAACACAGTATCACTTCTGCGAACTGTGTTAGATTTGACTAAATAGGGATGGCTGCCATTTGTTCCATTTATAATGTCTAGCCCTGTACTAAGAGACTGTAGGTATTAGTTCAAAACACAAACACAACCATATGGACTGAGGGTGTAGCTCAGTGGTAGAGTTCATATCTTTTTTTTTTTTTTTTTTTTTTTTTTTTTTTTGTTTATCGGTACCAGGGATTGAACTCATGACTGCCTGCTTGCAAGGCAGGCGCTTATGCCGCTGAGCTAAATCCCCAGCCCCCAGAGTTCATATCTTTTGTGAGCCCTAAGTTCCATCCCAGCACTGTGCACATACATGCACACATACACACAGTCATGCATGCATACCTAACCAAATACTGCAGACATGGTTAACATCTTTTTTTTTTTTTCAGGAAACATAATGTTTGGATAGATGATTACTGTCCCAGGAATGAACAATGGCTCTGAAGATATATAGCACTTTACTGTCATATCAACACCATGAAAGAAGATTCATTTAATCCTTACAACCAGGAGAAGGAGTACTTGGCCAAATTTTAAAGATAGACCAAGGCATGGCCGCTTCTTCTCTCTCTGGGACAGAGAGGACTGTTCAACCGCAGTGGCAGTGCCAGAGAGGAAAATGGGGGTGTTAGGAGCTGTGTGTGTGTGCTTGAGGTCATACAGTTATCACATTAAGAGGAGGAGCAAGGATTCAAACCCAGGCCTTCTGATTTCTAGTGAGAGGGCCTTATAGATCAGTCCAACCTCCCATGCTTCAGAGGAAAAAATAGACCCAGGAGAACCTTGGTCTGGGTCACATAGCTTAATAAGGCAGTGTGGATGAAACATGATTCTCCTGACTAACCACAAAGTCTTCCTGATCCCAACCCACCTGCCTCCTTCCCCTCTGAGCTGCCCTGATCTTGTGTGTAGTGCCCTTTGAGAACCTGTGCTGTGCTGTGAGCCCTCTCTTTCTGATGAGCTCCTTTTGTTTCCTTGGCCAGATTGTATCAAATTGCTTCTACTTTCATGATGGTCCACTGAAAGTTTTGGGCTGAGCTGCACCCTGGGACACAGAGGTGAACACTCCCCTGAGGTCTGGAGCTGGACATCTGGGGGCCCTGGCATGTGCTGAGACAGACTGAGCTCCAGCAGGCTGGGCCTCAGGTGCATGCTGGGTGATGCCCCTTTCCTACAGTTCACACAGGCTTGGACTTACTGGAGCCCTCTGCTGCTGGGCCCGCCTCACGATGGCAGCCCGCCTCAGCTTGGTAAAGGCTTCTCTCTTCCTCAATAGTTCATTGTAGAGGAACAGGACCCGTTTCTTCTCTCTCTGGGACAGAGAGGACTGTTCAACTGCAGTGGCAGTGCCAGAGAGGAAAATGGGGGGTGTTAGGAGCTGTGTGTGTGTGTGCAGGTTGGGATGTTCTCGGAGCACACCTTGGGAAAGAAGAAGGCTGCGATGACCCTCCGGAGCCGGTAGCCGAAAGCCTGGGCCAGGCAGAGACACAGCAGCAGGCCGATGGGGAAAGTGGCCCTCCAATAGGCTCTGGCATCCAGGCCCACGGGCTGGGGCAGACAGGCTGGGGACAAGCCAAGCCTGTGAGCAGGCTGCTCAGGGGAGCCCTGGCTGAACTCCCAAGCACCCCTGTGGGAAGTGCATGGTAGACCTTGATTCTCCTGCTCTCTTGGCCTGTCTGTGAACCCTGCAGAGCTGTGGAGCCAACACTCAGCCACCAGGCTTTAGGTGGAACACATCTTGAAAACTGTCATGGCAGGAGGTTTTTTCTGACAGCGCTGCTCTAGAGGGCTTTGACTCTCAGATGCCAAAGCCCCAGCCCCCAGTCTTCTCTGACCAATCTGCTCCCTGATACATTCTTTTTTTTTTTTTTTTTCATTTTTATCGGTACCGGGGATCGAACTCACGACCGCCTGCTTGCAAGGCAGGTGCTTACGCCGCTGAGCTAAATTCCCCCCCCCCCCATACATTCTTGGCTCTACTTTTCCAGACAGGCCGGGCACCATTTCTCCTCCACCAAGACCTGCCCTCCTTTTACCTTGGACTACTCTAACTCTAGCCCCCAGTACTCAGTTCCTCTAACCCAAATTTTCAGGATCACTCACGCATGTTGTTTGATTCCACCCCTGTGTCTGAAGAAGTGTTGAGGGCCCCAATGGTCTTCCGAAGAAGCCGGGCGAGCATGGAATCCCCCTCAACCTTCACCTCCAGTTTATGACTACCTGGCACCAGGATGAGGGTGGAGGAGTCAGAAAAGAGCTGGAGTTAGGGTTGGGGCAGGGTGGAAGCTGTCAGTGGGGTAGGGTCAAGGTCAAGCCACAGTCCTAGGAATACTCAACTGCACAGGTCTTTCTAGGGTTTTGCCCAGTCCTAACCCTTCCCTGTTGTAAAGCAAAAGGTCTAACTGAAGTCCCCTGGTGACAGCTGTCTGGCTGCCGCGCTGAGAATGGACCTTGGGGAGGGGTAGGAGGGCTGTCACAGGAAGGGGAGCAGGAGAGGAAACTTGGGTGGGGGGCTGCGTGGGCTGGAGTCAGCGTGGGGCCTGGCTCACTGTGAAAGGAATACTGCAGGAAGGAGTGCTGGCGGATGGTGTTGAAGACCAAGTAGAGGGCCCAGTCGAGCCCACAGAGCACCAGCAGAAGCAGTAGGACAGGCAGCGCCTCCAGGAGCTCCCGTGCCTGTAAGAGAGCCTGCGTGGTCTGGGCCTGCCCCTCTCAGAGTCAGACCTGCTGTGATGCTCCAGACCTGCCGCCCACACCATCCTCACCAAATTGCTCATTTCGGAGGCCTGGACAATGGGCTTGCAGGGGAAGATAAAGTCCTTCTTCTCAGCCTTGCGCAGTGGCAGCAGAGTCCGTTTACCCTGGGGAAGAACTGTTCCGTTGTCCTCCTGGAGCATGGGTTCACACAAGGCACCCTTAGGCAGACTTGTGTGCACTCACCAGCTTCTTCCTGCGCTCATCGATCTGACAGAAGTAGGTGCTGATGTAGATGTTGTCAAAGCGAATGTCCTGGTTGTAGCTGTCCGTGTAGGAGAAGGACCTGGGAACAGATGGTGGGGACTTCTTGTCTCTCTTGGCAGGGCCTGCTCAGCCCAGCCATCAGGCTCCAGAGGCACAAGACCAACCGGCATTCACTGCACACCCCACTCCCAAGAGACAGTGCCAGGCAATGATGACAAGGGCCCAAGATTCCACCCCTGCCTTTCAGCACCGTGTGGTAGAAGCGCTGGATGTAAGAGGATGAGGGGGGGCTTGTCAGTGGGCGTGGATGCAGGCATGAGGCCAGGGCCAGGAAACCCCTTCAGACCGCAGGAACCTCCTAAACTCTGACGCTCACTTCGCCTTTCCAGTGTTGACCTTTAGGCTGTTCCTGCAGCACGTGGGGCAAGCGGATCAGGCAAAGCTCATCCCAAGCCACCTTCCTGCCTCCCCGACCGCCCTGCCCCTCGCTGGAGCATAATAGTGGTGCGCACGTGTGTGTGTGTGTGTGTGTGTGTGTGTGTGTGTGTGTGTGTGTATGTGTGTGCGCGCATGCACGCATATGGAGCTATCTTCCATGTGTTTGCCAAAGTAACTGTTGGAAATGTGTTGAAAACTGTAATAATACATTAAATAAATTCTGCAAAGTGTGAAACATAAGCTCCAGTGCTATTGATTCTGGGACCCTATAAAAATCCACATCTCCCATTGTAAGAAATAACCCGAAATGCAAAGAAAGACTGGGAGCGCCCCCTTGTGGAGAGACCTACTACTGCCTTCTGCGGCTTCCTGCCACCCTAATCCCTTCAGTGAGTAGCGACCTGCCCAGGCAGCAAAGCCTGGAAGTAGCTTTTGAATCCTTGACTCCTTCCTTACCCCTCCAAGCTACCTCTGAGACCCACTGAACTTTTCCCCTTCCTCCTTCATTCAGGCCATCTTCCTGCCCTGCCACGCCCTACCACAGCCAGACTAACTCTGACCTAGCCAGGCTTCTTGCTTCCAGGGGGCCACGGTCCATCTTGTAACTGTCCCCAGGCCAGAGCCTCCCCCACACACCTTTCCAAATCCTTTTCATTACGTCCACTTTGGCCGACCCGATCTCTCTCTCACTCTGCAGATGCCAAGATCCTTGCCCAAGATACTACCTTTCTTTTCCGTGACCATGGTACCCCACCTATAGCCTTTTGGCATCCTAGTATGGACCTCCCAGGAGCTCTCCCTCAGCTCCACACCTGTCTTAGTGTGGCCTTTGGACATCTCCGTCCAGTGGGTATCTGCCTCATTACCCCAAGTAGATCAGAAGTATCTTTTTTTTTTTTTTTTTTGTCTTTTTCATTTTTATCGGTACGGGGGATCAAACTCACGACCTCCTGCTTGCAAGGCAGGTGCTTATGCCGCTGAGCTAAACCTCCAGCCCCAGATCAGAAGTATCTTGTGGGCAGGAGTGAGGTTCCTTCTTTCTCCTCCAATGGGCACACGCATATTCACTCACTAGCAGTCATGCTATCCCAACAAACAGAGGCCAACTGATCAAGGATCTGTGGCTCCCGTGGTGCAAGCCCCACCTGTCATCTGGGGGTGGAAATGGCAAGGAGATGGAGATTCAGGGGTCCAGAAAGTCAGTGGGGAAATGAGAGCACAGCGAGGCCCAGGCCTCCCAGCTGGATGCCAGGCTGGGTGGAGCTGAGGACTTTGTTCTAAATGCAAGGAAAGTAGCTGCCAACACAGCGGGCATGAGGGAATGAAAGCAAAGTTGAATGATAAAAATGGCACAAAGTCAGAACCAAGGGGAATATGAAGGGCAAGAAAAAATCAAAAGTCAAAGCTAAATGTAAAAAAAAAAAAGTATTAGAATAAAGGCTGGAAGGAGGTAGATAAATGGAGCCGGTTGCCCTTTTAAGATTATGGGAACATGAGTAACGTTTCTTCTAACAAAATGTCCACACATCCTATAGCTTTTTGTAAAAACAAACCCAACTTAATAAAAAGGCCAAGTTATAGGCAAATAGGGTTCCTATTCAGAGCTGGCGATGGGGTCTGCATTCTGCCTCCCAGCCTCCCTCAGGGTGGGCTACCCCTGTGAGGACAGGGACAGGAGCAGGGACAGGGTGAGGGTTAAGTGGGGAGGGGGCCGCTCACGCTCGGAGGACCAGCAGGAAGGTGCAGGACATCAGTGCATACAGCAGCCCCAGGGCCCACTCCAGCCGGGCCTCCTGCCGTTCCACGTAGTCCCGCACCTCGGTGCTCACGTGCTCCCAGCTCGTGTTGAGGCCCAGCACCCCAGCCTGCTGCTTCTCCTGGGAGACACACGTGCACGCTCAGGTGCCAGGCGGTATTGCATTCAAGTCCCCAGGTCCCCCAGATCTTCAGAAGGTGTCGCTGTCTGCCGACCACCCTGTGTGCTGGTCTTCTCCCTGTACCTGTGCTACCGTATACCTGGCTGCCCATTTCACCTGTAGGCTGGTCTGATCTCCCACACACCCTCCCAGTCCTATGCCATCCTCCTTTCCCTGCCTTCCCCTCATCCTTCCCAAGCCCTACCTTGATGTCAATATTGGCTGAAAATTCCCCATCCAGGCCATGAACAGACTGGTTGAGGGAATCATAGGTCTGCCCAAAGTTGCCTTCGACTGGGATACGGCTTCGGCACCAAACCTCCATCACTGGGGACAATCAGGTCAAGTCAGGGCCTCTGCTTGGCAGGCTGCATGCTCTCCTGGGAGAATCCTCATTTTGTTCTCCCTCCTACCCTAGGGCTTTTGCAGTGAGATATATCCTCAGCCCCTAGTTTTTCTTTTAATTTTGAGACAAGTCTTTGCTAAGTTACTGTTTCTCAGGCTGGGCTCAGACTCGCAATTCTAGAGTGCTGGGATCTCATGCATGTGTCACTAGATCTGGCTTCATTCTGTCCATGACTTTCTGCCATAATGACTGTCCCTCATCACTGTCTCTAGAGTCTTCCTCACAGAAGCAAGGCCTGATCTCTGTTTTCATCTGTCCCTAACCACAAAAAACATTATTAATGACAGCCAGCATTTATGGAGTGGCTCCTGTGTGTGCCAGCTCTGTCAGTTGCTCTTAGTCCTCAGAGCCCCTAGATGGGTCAGTTCCATTACTGTGCCCATCTTCAAGCTGAAGAGATGATGCTCAAAGTTTTGCTGCCATTCACTGGGATCACATGACAGCCTTAGATGAGTGACCTCAGGGTGGTGTGTCCACAGAGCCTAATCCCTGCTGCCTTTCCTGTACCACACCTATCATGGTCCTTAAGGATTTGGCTCCCTAACTCTGGCGCACCCCCACCCTCCTGCCACTGTGCCAACCCTTGGAAATGCCACAGAAGAACTTGAATTTCATTGGCAGGCAGATCAAGTGGTTCAGGAGTGGGATCTGAATACGTTGCATGCACTGTTCATGTTTTCGGTCAAACCAACGACGACAGCTGAGAATAGCTTGGTTTACCACATCTGCAGAAACAAGCAATAGTGTCTGAGGTCCCTGAACCCTGACCTGGACCCTGCCCCCAGGGACACCCCCTCACAGGAGCAGCGCAGCTTGGTCTTTAGCTCAAACATCTTCTGGGTTGATAGGTGGATCTTAGTGCTGGGGGCCTTCTTGGCCTCTGCACCTTGAGTAGTTTCCTCAGAGCCCGCAGCATCCTCAGGTGTGTAGCCAGCCTCACTGCTCACCTGGGCATCCAGGTCCTTAAAGGCAGTGGAAATGTTTCGAGTCTCTGCTCTCAGTGATTCTTTGCTGCCCTGGGTTGGAGTGGACAAGGAAGCAAGGACTGTTTAGAGTCCTCATCCCCATCCTGTTCTCTGCCTGTGCCAACCTTTGGGATCTTCCCTGGGTTTATGAGGAGGTAGGCCAGAGACACATTCTCCCCTCTTTGGTCTTTGCCATTCACAGTGCGGGACCAGTCACCTCTCCCCAACTGTCATACTTCCCTCCCACACCCCCCAGTTTCTCCTTGGATCTTCCATTCCAGATCCTTCCTACTCAGTCAGTGCTTCCTGAGACCCTTGGATTTCACCCTAGATCATTGTGCCACCTGAATGTTTCCAACTCCCAAAGCCCTCGGCCGCCATCTCCCAACTCCCCATCTCTGCAATACTCCCCTGCTCAACAGCCCCCAGTCCCAGCTTTCAAAGCCCAGCTCCCTCCTTACAAAAAAAAAAAAAAAAAAAAAAAGCCCAAGGCCCCTGCTTTCCTATCACCCTCCTTCAGTAGCCCAGAGACTGCCCACTCCTGTATTTGGAAATGGATGTGAGGCATGTCCCAACAACTGGGGATCCTACAACTGGGGGTCCTGGTATTTGGTACCCCAGAACCAGGGCATATTCTGCCCAAAATGCCAGTAGTGTCCCCAGTGGGAAAATATATCCAGGGTTCCAGCTCCCAACTCAAGTGAACTCGGCCCCAGGAGAGGGATTTGCAGGCCCTGGCCATGCGAGTTCCTGACCAGCAGGTCCTTGAAAACTGCCCGGAGTGGCGCTGTGGAGATATGCCAGGCTGCACGGGTATTGTTGATCTGCAGCTCCACGGTGCAGCCCAGTGATGCTACCACTTCATTGAGGTTGTGCTTCATATTGGCCACTGGCCCTGGAGGAGGAGGCCAGTGGTCACTTCTGTGTAAGTCCAGTACTTTTTCAAGCCCCTTCCCTGCAATGCAGTGGACACCTTCCAGGATTATACAATGATCAGACTGAAAATTCTTTGCATTCAACTCTGGACTTTTTCATCTGTATAAACTAAGGAGGCCCAGAGATGGGGAGGAGCTCTCTTAAGAACAGGCAGCAAACTGGAGTAACTGGGATTAGACCCTACCTTTTCCACCCAGGGTCACTGCTGCCGGGTGACCCACCAGCCCTCAGGGACACATGGATGCACTCACCTATATAAATGGCAGCCAAGGCATATCCCAGGACGAAGAGCCTGCCCTCTTTGCCCAGCATCTTAGGCACGAGCAGGAGGCTGGCACAGCGGATGTGAGGGGAGGTCCCCCAACCTATGGCACCCAAACCTGTCAGGAGAGCCAAGAAAGTAGGTAGTGAGGCAAAGCAAAGAAGCTGCCACTTACCGTGCTTACCAGAGGCCCTTGCCCTAGCTCCTGCTGGCCTCTTCTCTCGGATAAACAGGCCATCCACTCATGCATTCAACAGCCACTTTCCATGTTTGATGGTATGCCAGTCTTTGAACTGGCATGGAGAGGCTGCAGATGGAACAGTCATGGCCAGTGTTGGTGCGTGTGTACACATTTATGTACGAGAGTGCATGTTTGTGTTATAGAAGGCAGCCAACATTTTCCACATCCAGGTTGGACCATTCTTATCCTACATGATGAAGTAACAGAGTGGGCAAGAGGAAAATTCTAGATATAGGCACTGGTGCTCAGGTGGGTCGAAGAGGTCAAAACCCACTGGAGACCTTTCCAACGCTCTGACACTTGCAGGATTCAGTCTCTCCTCTCCTGAGTTAGTCCCAAATCATGTGTCATTGTATGGTGCAGCAGTTTTGTGTGTCTTCCTGTGGCCTCTGCAAGGAGGCAGTGAGCTCCTGAAGTCGTAACCCAGAAAGAGAGACAGACAAGTAAACAGATGACTACCACACCAAGTGCACAGGGCACTAGGGAGGGGCTTATGCGGAGCCAGGAGTCTGAGGCAGGCGTGGCGATTTGTGCCGGGAGGGGTGGGGCAGGGAAAGCTGGACAAAGAGCCAATGTGTCAACCTAGCCCTGAAGATGAGCAAATGTTGGGAAGCGCAGATGGCATCCAGGCCAAAAGCAAGCATGAGCTGGTCAGGGAGACTAGATGTTGCCTGCACTGACCAACCATTTGCCCAGGGATTGCACAGCTCTTGAATCCTTCCACTTCCCTCCATCCACTGACCTGGAGAGTCTCCATCATCTCTCACTGGGACTAGAATGTTTGTTGGTTTTAGATGACAGTGCTGGGGATGGAATCCAGGGCTTTGCATATGCTAGGCAAACACCTTACCACTGAGTCATACCTCCAGGCCCTGGCCTAGAGCTAGTCTCCCTTCTTTTTCTCTTGATATTTTCTTTTCTTTTTTTCTTTCGCTTCTTTTTTTTTTTTTTTTTTTTTTTTTTTGTACCAGGAATCAAACTCAGGACCTTGCACTTGCCAGATGGGCTTTTATACCTCTGAGCTAAATCCCCGGGCCACTCTGTTGCTACTTTGCACTTCAATTTATACAAAGCAGCCTGAGTGGCCAGGTGTGGAGCCACAACTGTACTCCCAGGACTCCGGGAGGCTGAGGCAAGAGGACTGAAAGCTTGAGCCCAGCCCATGCAACTCAGTGACCCAGTAAGACCCTATCTCAAAATAAAAAAAAAGAGCTTAGTGCTTCCTGGGTTTGATCCTTGGTTCTGAGAATAACAACAACAAAAAAATGGGTTGCCATTGTGATTGTGTAAAAACATAAGTTGAGTCAAGTCCCTTGCTACCTTAAACCATCCTGCCGCCTTCTGAAGGCACGCTCCTCGCCCTTAGCCCCCCATAGCCTAACCCCAGGCCCCCCTGCAGTTCCTGCAGCACACCAGCCTCTCTTCTACCACCCTGCCACACCTCGGGCTGCAGGCAGGAGTGCTCCTCCCTGATTCCTGGGCTGAGCGGCTCCACCCAGTCCTACAGGTTTGTGGCCAACCTGTCTGGTGCCACCCAGCAGTTTTTTCTGTCTTCTCTCTCTCACTAACACAATTTGGGTTTTGTTCAAGGGCAACAGCCTGGTTCTGTTCCAGCCCTTGGGGGTGAGTCTGGATCTGTCTAAACCAACCATGGTATTACAGAACTTTGGAAGGGACTTGTTCTGTGGTCTTGGCCTTCTGGCCAAAGACTCCAGTTGAGGACAATAGTTGACAAATAGTTGCCCTACATTCTAACTCTAATAGAGCCCCATGGAGGTTTGGGTATCTGTTTTAGGCTGAGCAAAACAGCAGAAAGTATTTCTGTCTTCTATGCCGCCAGTTTACACAAGCAGAACAGAAACAGACTTTCTGGAAGGGGAGCCACGTGGTTGGTACAGGCAGGTCCAGAAGGAGGTTTGTGGAGAAGATGGGTGTCACGTTCAGTGAGAGACTCCAGGAGGCCATTCTGCAGAGCCTGCTTCTCATCAGGATGAGGTACAGGTGGCTCCCATGGCTTTTCAGGCAAGGACTTGTGCATTTTCTTTGGGACAAGCAGGCATTTTGGAAGGCATCAGATCTAGAGCCGCCTATGTGCGCTACCTGGAGACAATGAGTGGGCAGGCCAAGGCTTCTCCACAGCAGGCTCCAGCTGAGACCAGACAGCTGGGGCAGGAAGCAGCCAGGTGGGAGGTGCTAGGAAAGGTGCAGTGTAGACCTGGGCAGCAATAGCTGAAGGGAGGGCAGATTTTCCTGAGGAAAACAGCCAGAAAGCAAAGGGTTTGTATGCGTGGTGGCAGTGGGGACCGCATGTGAGTACTGTGGCCAGAGACAGAGCCTTCTGGGCCAAGACTCCAGCTTCTGCCTGTAGCAACTGGGGATATTGCTTACCCCTCGTCCTAGGTTCAGGGAAGGGCATATTGATGCTGCTCTGGCCAGAGATGTAAGAGGAAGCCTGCTGAGGAGATTATAGGGAAGTGTCCCCTGTTCCTTAAAAGGGACATGATGAAAGGACGTTCCTTCTTTCCTTTCCAGTGTTTGACATTTTGTATGTGAAAATGTGGTGCCTGGAATCCAAATCAAAACAGCACTGACTCCCCACTCCAGTAAGAATGGCCTTTATCAAGAACAAAAAACAAGTGCTGGGGGTTCTGGGGAAAAGGAACCCTTCTACACTGCTTGTGGGAGTATAGACTGGTGCAACCACAAGGGAGATCAGTATAGAGATTCCTCAAAACACCAAGACTAGAAGCTCCATTTGAGTCAGCTGGACCTCCTCTGGTTATCATCCTGAAAGTGGTAAAGTCATTGTATTACAGTGACACATGCATACTATGTTTCAGCAGCACAGATCACAGTAGCTAAACTATGGCAGTGAGCTATATGTCTATCAGCAGAAGAACAGATAAAGAAAATGTGTTTACACAATGGAGTGCTACCCTGTCATAAAAATAAATTTGAATCATTTGTAGAAAAATGGGTAGATTTTGAAATCATGGTACTAAATGAAATAAATCTAATAGGAAGGGGACCAAGGCACAGAGGGAAGGTTGAAAGAGGGAAGGGGAAGGGAATATAAAAAGAATTAAGATGTATTATGTACATGTACCAGCTTCCCACGATGAATGCAATCATTATGTACTGCAAATTTGTACTAATTAAAAAAAACAAAAACAAAAACCAGGCCAGGCATGCTGGTGCATGCCTTTAATCCCAGCATTTGGGAGGCTGCACAGAAGCAATGCTGTGAGTTCAAGGCCAATATGGGCTATACAGCAAGACCTTGTCTCGAAAAACAAAAACACCCAGCAGCATAAGTGCCTGCCTAGCAAGCACAAGGTTGTGAGTTCAATCCCTGGTACAAAAAAAAAAAAAAAATGGCTGGGGATTTAGCTCAGCGGCATAAGCACCTGCCTTGCAAGTGCATGGTTGTGAGTTCAATCACTGGTACCAGAAAAAAAAAAAAAAAAAAAAGAAAGAAAGAAAAACAAAAACAAACAACAACAAAAAAAAAAACCACAAAGCAAAACAAATCAAAAACAAGAAATGAATCAGATACAAGGCTATACATCACATGATCTCTAATATGAGAGACCCAACCTATATATTATATAATGATGAAAATAAAAGAGAGATGCTAAGAAACAGGGAGGCTGAGTCTGAGGAGATAGAAAAGGTATCCGGGGAAGGAGAGAGGGAGGAGAGTGAATGAGTAAAATGATCAAGATTCCATATGTATGTTATCAGCTCCCCAAGATGAATGCAATTATTACGTATTGCAAAGATAAGCTTAAAAGATGTGATGTTTTGAGTTGCTGCAGTCATTTTGTGACCTGGAGTGAGGGCCAGGCTGCACTGCAGGTGGCAGACAGAAAAGACAGAAGGAATCTGGCTTTTTGATGGGGCTATTGAGCTACTAAATTATCAAATTCCAGGAGCACCCTACATTTTTTTTTTTTTTTTTTTTGTGCCGGGGATTGAACTCATGAGTGCGTGCTTGCAAGGCAGGCGCTTATGCCGCTGAGCTAAATCCCCAGCCCCTTACTTTGATTTTTGTTCTATGAGATAATAAGCTTTCTCTACAGTTCAACCACTTTTAGGCGGGTTTTCTGATCTTGCAGCCAAATATCTCCATTGAAATCTCATCTCTGGCTGGGGATATAAATCAGTGGCAATAAGTGTTTGCCTCACCTGTGAGCCCTACATCTCCCCATCACAAAGTCACCTTCTCTGAGAAGCCATCCCTAATTGCTCCAACTAACACCAGCCCTGTCTTTCACATACCTGGTCATTTTTCACATCATTTGTTGCCATCAGAAATCTCTCGCTCCTTCCTCCCTCCCTTCTCTGTTATGTGGCTCTGGGGATGGGATTGAGCCCAGGGCCTTGTGCATGCTAGGCAAGTACGCTACCTCCAGACCCAGAAATGCTCTTGCTTACTTGTTCATTGTCTAATTTTCTCCCTTGCTCACACATAAATGCCAAACAGCCAGCGCTTGTTAATTCTGTCATGCAGTGTCTTCAACAGGTGGTCAGTAAGGAGTGAATGAATGAATGAATGAACTGAGTTTCACTGGAGGAGCAGAAAATGCGCCAGAGAGGTCAGGAAGGGTGGTGGGGTTTGGACTGTGGGGTGTCCCTCAAATTTGACAGACTCACTGAAGACCTCAGGCTGGGGCCTCTTCCCCCTGGATTTCCCCTAAAGCTCAAGAGGAGGCTGAAGGCACGAGGTGCTGATGGACAGAGTGACTGAGTTCTGACTCCCCCTCACCCAGGACTAGGCCACACTCCCCAAGCCTCACACACCCCAGCTTTGGGCTGGCACTAACCCACCAAGCCGTACAACACCACCATCTTCTGCTCTTCATAGATGTTCATAGGGTTCACCAAGAGCTGAAAGAGACCTGAGAACCCAGGATGAAGCTGAAGGTCCATGGCTCGGCTCCCGCCCTGGTCCAACCTCTCCCCACCCAACCTTCCGCCTCCACACTCACCTATGGCCAGGAGTCCCCCAGTGCCAGCCCCCAGCAGGAAGGTAGTGACAGGGAACTCGCCTGGCTGACGCCACAGGAACCGGCTGCAGAGCTCTGGCAGCCCCCAGTTCAGGAGCCTCTGTACAGCTGAAAGGTGAGCAGTCAGGTTCATAGCCCTCTCTCCTGGCTGGGTTAGGATCACTAGGGTTAGGGGCTTGTAGGGGAATAGGGATTAGGGTAAACTGGAGGATAGTTAGGAGAATTTGCGGGACCCTAGAGGAGAAAATAAGGGATCTTGAAGAAGTGGAGCAGAAGTAAGAAAGAGAAGAAGAGCAGGTGTAGTTATACACACTGGTGATCTCAGTACTCAGACTAAGGCTAAAGGATTGCTGTGAGTTCAAAGACAGCCCGGACTACATAGTGAGTTCAAGGCTAGCCTGAGCCACAAAGACAGACACTGTTTTAAAAAAATAAAAATAAACAACTATTTGTAAAAGGACAGTATGTAAACATTAACTAGTGATTTCTTATTGTTTATTTTTTCTCTGAACCTGCGTATTATTTCTACCCATTTTCTGTTTTGTTTAGTCTTTCTTTAAATAAAATTTTAAAAAAATAAATAAAAATAAGTAGACCTTGTCTCAAAACAAAATAATAGTCAAGCATGGTGGTGTGGGCCTGTAATCCCAGGGAGCTTTATGGTGAGGCCTTGTCTCATAATAAAAAGGAGAGAAAAGTCTGAAAGGAGAGTGTGCTGGGAAGGGGTCTCTGGTGTCCATCTCACTAGTGTGGGGTGGTTTCCTTCTTTGCCTTCTTGGCCCGCTCTCATGGTGTTTAATGTCCTCTCTGTTCTTTGGAACCCTCTCTGGTCCCAGAAGTCTCCTCAAAGCTTCCCTTAGAAGTGCCATCCTTGGAGAGAAGGGAAGGCCTCATTCCTAGCCCCTCTCTGAGTCTGTGACTTCCAGTCCCTCAGCTCTGAGATACAGAAGACTGGAGACCCACTCTCCCTCCTCAGCCCTCGGAACAGATAAGGGATTCTGAGACACACACAGCCCAAGCCCTCCGGAATCTCTGAATAGAGTGAGGAATTCCAGGACACCAGAACCCAGGGCCTCTCCTGGAGACAGGAATCATTGTCCCGGCTGCCATGCCCAAAGCTATGGGGGATGTTGCATTGTCCCTAGGGGCAGAAGAGCCTAGCATGGCCCGGGCCATTGTTCGCAGTGTGGGCGGCTTCAGCCTGGGATTGTCCTTGGCTACGGCCTATGGGCTTCTGGAGCTGCTGGTGGAGGGGCGCAGCCCCCGGGGCTGCCTGGTGGGCACCGTCACTTTGGCTGCCTTCCTTAGCCTGGGGATGGGGTTCTCCCGCCAGGTCCGAGCCACTGTCTTTCTGATGCTGCCCCAGGCTTTCTCCAGTGAGCCTGGCATGTGGGGCGAGGGCAGGTCCTAGGGTAGGGGTAGCTGTCTACAAGGACCTTGCTGCTATGTTCAGGGCTGTCTCCCCAGGGCATGGCCGGATGCTGCTGTTGATGGCTGCTTTTGGGTTGGTACTCCAAGGGCCTTGTGCCAACACTCTGCACAACTTCTCCCAGGCCAGTAAGGCGGTGGCCTGTGGGGCAGAGCTGGCTCTGAACCAGACTGCGGAGGTGCTGGAGCAGGCCAAGCAGCCCCTCGTCAGTAAGCCCCAACTCTGTTTCCCACAGGACCCAGTGTCCCCTCCTTCTGAAAGGTTTGCAGTCCTTTGCCTTATTTCTGTGTCTGAACCTCAAAGCACCCAGCCTTGAAAGAGACTTTGGAGTTCAGCCAAACCCTCATGTTCTTGCTCTCTGGTCTCTTCCTGGCTCCCCACCTCCCCACCAGTCCTTCTCCCCTCCCCAGCAGGGACAATGTCGAGAATTGGCTCCTACAGCGTGGAGGAGGCCCCACACTGTCCCTACCCCTTTCTCGTAGGTGCTCTGAATAAGATTAAAGCTATCGCCAGGAAGGCCAAAGTGGCTGCTGACCAGATCCGAAAGTTCTTTCGCTCAATCATGGATGGTGTGAAGCATGTGGGTAAGCTCATGGTACGGCTGGATTTGGAGGTCTGGGCCCTCACAGCTGTCCCCCACCCTGTTCAGGTTTCTTGGGTGCTAACTGTTCCTATTGGATACAGACTAATGGGGCCCCGAGTCTCTCCAGCTCTGGGTGCCAGCTGGTGTTCTCCACACCCTAGAGGAGGAGAGGCTGGGGGACTCTGTCGTTGAGTACCAGCCCCACAGCTGTCCCCAGCCAGGGCCCTGAGGAATGTGTGGTATTGGCTTCTCCACATCGGTGACATCTGCAACTCAGAGCTGGGCAACCCTTACTCAAAGTGTGCGCGGGTTTTTGATGACGCCAAAGACAACTGCATGAAGATCATACCACAAGCCTACCACCTGTGTTACGTGCTCATGCCCTTCAAATTGGCACTGTGTGGACTTGCCAGCCGTGAGAAAGCCAAGGGCTTGCAAGGGGGAGGAGAGAGTGGGGATGGGGTGGAGGGGGGAGAGGGCAGAGTCAGGTGGGAGGGTTGGGCCTACAGAGAGCCATGAAGATGCTTAGCTCAGGATGGAGGGAGGAACAAATGTTGGGGGTTGGGGCAACAGAAAAAGGCCAGTAGGAAAAGTGGAGAGTCCCATGAGAAGCAGGACCCAGAGAGGGCTTGGGGCAGCTCTGTCTCTGCCCCTCTTTCTGACACTGCAGTCTCCACTCTCAGTGGTCCAGGTGTTCTGCATCATCCCCAAGTACATACAGCCCTTCTTGCGCAAGACCATCGGTACCCGTAAGTGGCCCCTCTCAGCCCCATCAGGCCATAAATGAGAAGCAAAACCAGGAAAGGGCCTCAAGAGGTTATCCCCATCCCATCAATGTCTATTCTGTCCAGGTTAGGAAATTGAGGCCCAGGAAAGGGAAAAGAGGTAACTAAGCAAAGCCAGACTTTAGATCAAGAACTGAGAACAGCCCCCCCCCACCCCAGCAAGCACAGGGCATACAGATAGATCCTTACTTGCCTCTATCATGCTAGGTATAATGCTAGGCACCCAGCATATGCTGGTGGTGGTGCTGGTGGAGATCCCACCCTCTTCCTAGTCCACAGTAAACCCAAGCCCTGAGGGTTCTGACCATCCGTGAACTTTGTGACCCTTGGGCTGTGACAGCCCCCTACAACTGCAGCTCAGTCCTGCTAACTCTCCCTGTTCACAATTCTGTTCCAACTCCTACTGGCTCTAGCCATAATGAAGCTGATTAACCGGGTGCGTCAAGAGTTTGAGTTCAACATGACAGTCACCCACTACTTCTCTGTGGACCTCAATGCCTCTCGGAGCCTCTCCCAGGTGGCTCTGGACCTCCACGAGGCCGTCAGCCTGAAGCTGCAAGGCTTCCAAGAGGCCCTGGCTCTGATGGGCTACGCTGTGCCTCTGCTGCTCACGCTCCTTTACCTCCAGTGAGGGCTAAGGGCCAGCTCAGCCTGGCATCCCAGAAGGTTGAGGGCCAGGTGGGGTTACCTAGCATTCTGACCTGGTGCCAGAGACCTCCTCTGTGCTCTCCATCTAGAGCCCTGTTTTACCGGTACGCCTACCTGAACTGGGATGATTTTGACAACATCTACATCACCAGCCTGTTCCTGCGCATGGAGGCTGTGCGCTCCCTGGCAGGGCTGCCCACAGTGCTGCCGCTCAGTGCCCACGAGGCCAGACATTACATCCACCCTGGTGAGGGCCTGAGGCCAGGGTTTCCCCATACCCATACCTGACCCTACATGCAGGGCACAGGCAGGGAAGACCCTAGAGACTGTCTAGGCCCCTGGCTGGTTCCAAGGGAAGCTACCAGGCCTGCACCTCCAACCACGGAGCCCCTGGCGCTAAGAATTCCCAGCCTTGTCCATGGTCCTTACAGCCTCTCTTTTCCATCTATTGTTTTGTTTTGTTTTGTCGGTACCAGGGATCAAACTCACTACCATTCGCTTGCAAGGCAGGTGCTTATGCCGCTGAGCTAGCCCCCTCTTTTCCATCTTCTGCAAGGGTAAACAGGCCCAGGAGCACATACTCCTTTTGGGATTTGGACCCAGTGGGTGAAAGAACTGGGGATCATCCTCTGGTCCCCACCTCCCTAGGCTCCATTTTCCTGTCCCGATGGGAGCAGATTTTGTACATCCTGGAACTCCTTGGCCTGATGCGCCACCTCATCATCATGTTTCTCCTGGTCTTCCTGGATTATGCTGTCTTCTGGGTGCTTGACCTGGCCCGGTACCAACTTCAAGGGGAGATCGTGGCCCGCAGTGAGTGCTTGCCATGCCTGAGTATACCCAGCTCCAGGCTGGGTATACTTGCTCCCATGTTCTCCCCCAGCCTTCTCTTCCTCCCCACACTCTGTCTTGGGGACTACTCAGATGTTCCCATGTCACTGTCACTCAACATCATCCAGCTCTATCCTCTGCCTGGTAACACCTATACCCAGGTAAAGGTCATGACTATACAGAGCAACTGAGGCCAGGTTTGGTGGGGCATGCATGTAATCCCAGCACTGGAGAGGCTGAGGCAAGAGGAGCCCTGCACAACTTCAAGGGTTACATAGTTAGTGAATTTGAGAGCAGCCTAAACTATAGAGCAAGACCTTATCTCAAACCCCTGCCCCAATCATAAAAAACAAAACAAAACAAAACCCAAAACAGAGTATAAAGATACAAGTTCTAGGGTAGGCTGATTGGTGGGAGATCTAACCAACGGCCATCACACTGAACTATATTCCCAGCCTTTTCTTTCTTTTTCTTTCTTTCTTTTTTTTTTTTTTTTTTTTTTTGTCTTTTTTGAGACAAGATCTCTCTATGCAGTTCAGGCTGGCCTTAGGCTCACTTTGTAGCCCAGGCTGGTCTCAAACTTGCCACAATCGGCCTGCCTCAGCCTCCCAAGGGCTGAAATTACAGGAGTGCACCACCACGCCCAGCTTGTTTTCTCCAAACCTTTAAAAAAGTCTACCCAGGGACCAGAGATATAGCTCAATGGCACAGCACCTGCCTGGAAAGCACAATCCTGAGTTGGATTCCTAGTATCAGAAAAAAGTCCACCCAGTTTGATGTTGTTTTTGTTTTCTTTTTTTTCTTATTTTATTATATTTTATTTTATTTTATTAGACAGGGTCTTGCTGAGCAGTTTAGGTTGGCCTAGAACTCACTAGGGAACCCAGGCTAGCCTCTAATTCATGGTGATTCTCCTACCTTAGCCTCCCCAGGTGTGTTGCCACCATGCCCAGCCCCAGACTTTTTTATAAATTTTACTTTGAGAGAGGATCTCTATAGTCTAGGGGCCTCAAACTTTTGATCCCCCTGCCTCAGCCTCCCAAGTAGCCATGATTACAGGCATGTATCACCATGTTTGACTCAGCCAATGCCTTAACATAAAGTATTTCTGGGCAGTGTGCGATGGGGTGAATCTCAGATCTGGTGGCCTGGCCAGGCAGACACTAGTGCCACCCAGCTGTACCACAGAGCCATAGTTCAGAACCTGTGGTCAGGCCTTGCAGTATCCTGAGGATCCTTGCGCATCAGAGTGCAGACCATGCCTATGATCTGCAGGGCTCATCTTCTACCGATGAACAGATGTGCTTGTTTTCTGTGGAGTGGAGCAGGCACCTGTCGTGTGTGCTCCTTACCTAGTATCTTTTGTGGGTTTTTTTTTTTTTTTTTTTTTTTTTGGTCTTTTTCTTTTTTATTGGTACCGGGGATCAAACTCATGACCGCTTGCTTGCAAGGCAGGTGTTTATGCCACTGAGCTAAATCCCCAGCTCCCTTACCTAGTATCTTTGTGCAGGCCCAGTCTTAGTGTCCATAACTGTGGAAGGTTCAGGATATACAGGGAATATTTACCGTGACCTGGTGTCAGCTTTCGACGTCCTGCAGCAGGGCAACGTCAGCATCTTGTCCCAGAAGTGCCTCCTGAAGCCCTCAGAGCCAGACTCCACCAGTTACATAGTCATCGGTATGGCCACTGCCCCAGGGCCCTGGGGACTGGGAGCAGGTGGGAGGGCTGCGGCCAGCGCCAGGGCCTGCAGCAATTCTCACTGGGCCTCTGCTCCAGGCGCCATGTACGGCCTATGCTTCTTTGTCACTCTGTGTGGTGGCTATGTCAGCCGGCTTCGGCGAGTCATCTGCGCCTCCTACTATCCATCTCGTGAACAGGTGAGGGGGTCCTGGCCATGTCAGTCCTTGCCCCACTTCAGGTGCCAAGCTAGGCTGTCTTGGCTTTGGGGAGCCAAGAGGACTTTTATAGCTGAGTCCTCTCTCCTCTGGTGGAACCCCAAAGCAGGAGATCTGAACTGCAGGTCTCTGGGGCCTAGAGTTGGCTGGGGGAAGAGGTGCCACTTGGGGCAGTGCTTCCTGACCCAGAGCTCGCCTCCAAAGTCTTGAGACAACCAGGGGAACAGGGCAGTGTTGGCATGATGGTGGTTGGAAAGAAACATACTCTCTTTTTACTCATTTGCTAATCGTGTACTGAACACCTGTCACTGTGCTGGTCACTGAGGCTGCCAGGATGAACCACATAGGCTGGAGCTCATCTCAAGGCAGGACAGACTGGCTGTTAAGAAAACATTATAGTTTTTAAAAAGAGCTTACATTAAGGAACAAATAAAGTGCTATAGAAATCCAGAGGAGCGCCAGGGATTTAGCTCAATAGCATAAGCACCTGCCTGGCAAACATCAGGTCTTGAGTTCAATCCCCGGTAACAAAGAGATCCAGAGGAAGGGGTGGGAGTGGATAATTCCACCCAGGGGGGCCCAGAAGTCTTCCCAGAAGCAGGGGTATCTGTAGGAGTTGGACAGAAGGAAAGTGGGGAGGAATGCAGAGGCAAGCCAGGCAGATGAGACATAGCCAGGTAGGAGCCATCCCCAATTTCCTGCAACAGGAAAGGATCTCCTACCTCTACAACATACTTCTGAGCCGGCGAACTAACCTGCTGGCCACCCTGCAGCGAGCGGTGAGGCGCCGGGCAGCTGACCAGGGCCACATGAGTGCCCTCCAGGTGCTAGCCTTCAGGTGAGCCAACTGGCCTTCCTCAGTAGATGTGACAAGAGTGGACAGAAAAAGAGCCAGTGGTCAGAGGGCCCACTGTTCAACTCCCTAGGTGACCAGCGGTTTGGTTGAAGAGGGTGCCTGTTCCACACCCTGCAAGGAAGAATTCAAGATGAGAATTCTTTTGTGTGTGTGTATGTGTGTTTGAGACAGGGTCTTGCTATGCAGTTCAGGCTGGCCTTGAACTCACTGTGTAGCCCAGACTGGTCTTGAATTTACAACGATCCTCTTGCCTCAGCCTTCTGAGTGCTGAGATTACAGGCATGCACCACCACATGCAGTTCAAAAATGAGAATTCTTAGGAGTGGGAGTGAGAAAAAGAAAGAAGGCAGAGCGATAGAGCAGGTGCCGCTAGAGGTAGAGAGATGGAGGTTAGGCTGCAGGAAATCCTCTGATCTTTCAGAGGTTGGTACTGATGTGGGGAGGGTTAGACTGGCTGGCCCTTGTGTGTGCTGCCCCTTCCCAGGTGCCCATGGCTGAGACCATTTATCAGGCAGTTTCAGCTGTACCAGACCTACTGCTTGTGCTGTGGGCAGCCTCCAGAGAAAGGGGACACAGACAGCTTTGTGTACTGCAGTACCCCAGGGTGCCAAGGTGAGACCCGAGGCAGGTGCCCCTTCCCAATGGCACTCACCATAGCTACATATGACCATCAGCCTCTCCCTATCTCACCTTTTGTCCCTTTCCTTCAGAGCTACGCATATTTTCATGGCATGAGGCCCTTGGGTAACCCATCTCCTCCCTATTTTCCTTGGTTTTCTGGCTGTGAATAGGATTTGTATGCAAGGGGCATTGCCGCAGGCCCCTGTCATGCAAACTGGACACCTCTCCGGGGGTGGGGCAGGGAAGAAAGGGCTGGAAAACCCCTGGGATGGGATGGGTAACTCAAGTTCCCTTTCCCGCCTGCCTGTTATAGGTCGCTACTGCCAGGACTGCTACAGCCTCCTGGGCAGCACCTGCTTTGTGTGTGCTGCTCCTCTCTCCTACCAGGGGAACCTGGACATAGAACTGTGAGTCCTTCAGTGACTGCAGTCTGTGGGGGCAGCGGGAGTAACCTGTGTAGGCCCTGAAATAAAGCTGCTCCAGGGACTCGAGCGAGGAGGAGGGCCCCCCACTACAGCTGGCTGTGGCTGAAAGGAGGGCCACCGAGGAGGAACCAATCCTGTGGCAACAGCTCCAGGAAGCACCGGACAGAAGCTACTCAGAGAAGTCTAGCTCTGGGCCCAGGTGAGGGGATGTAGGGATTGGCCCCTGGGAATTGGAAGCAAGTCTGCCACATTTATAATGGGCTTCATAGTGCCTCGACCTGAGCTAGGGCTGAGCACAAATGTGAAGAGGAGGAACAGAGGTTTACTAAGTGCCCACTTTGGGTCTGCACCCCACCTGCAAGGAAGGGCTCACTGTTCAAGGGGGAGAAGGGCATCACACAGGCAGCACTTGAGTACCCCAATAAAGGAGAGACATACTATTGGAAGGGGGTATATTAATGAAGGCTTCAAAGGAAAAAGAAAAAACAAGCTTGGTTTTGTGGCAACCTGAGTAATGTCAGGCTAAGCTGAGGAAGTATGGAGGAGGAGGCCTGTGGAAGTATGAGAATGAGCTATTCAGGAAAGTAAATAAGATCTGAGGTGTGTAGCGGGTTGTGTGCTTAGGTGGAGACCTTAGAGAATATTGAGGGATGAGGTTGAAGTCAAGGTGAGGAGAGACAGACAAAGAGACCTTACTTGCCATTTGAAATTCATGATGGAAAGTAAAATACTCACATTTCTCTTTTAAGGTCATAGTTTAAAAAAAAAAAAAAAAAGATCCTAAGTTGAGAAGGCGGTGCGGAGACTGGGCAGAGGCTGTCACGTCTGGGAGAGGATGATGACAGCCTACAGTTCCAGGTCCTAAGACTGACTGGGATCCATGCTTGGGACTCAGCAGGTGTGGGGGCAGGAGGAGAAATGGGCTCTGGGTAGAGGACTGGCCAGTTGGAGACCTGTGATGTGTCTGCAGGCATCCAGTTGCAGAGGTCCAGGGCATAGTTGGAAAGGAGCAAGGCTGGGGCTGGAGGTATCTCTTCTGGGGCAGTCAACACTCAGACTGTAAGAAGATGAGCTAGGCCATCCTGGTGAAGGGTACAGCAGCAGAGAAGGGAACGGGACCAAACTCTGAAGAGTTCATCACAAACCTAAGAGGAAGGGAAGAGTCTCAAGAAAGCAGAAGGGCAGAGCTCAAAAGCCCGAGGTGATGAGCAGGCTGCAGACAAGGATCAGACACTGGATCACAGTGTGGTCGGTGGGGACACTCTTCATATGCCATGAAGGCCAAAACTAGATCAGGACAGGTTAAGGGGTGGCTGGTAGAGAGAACCCAGAAAGGGGGATGTGTCCCCCGTATCACAGCTGCCAGGAGTTTAAAAATCCCTTTTAAATGATAACTGACATCACTACAAACAGGAAACTAGACAGTGAAGTTACATGCAAGGGCCAGGCTGCAAGAGACAGATCAAAAGATGTTTCTATATCCAGGACAGGAAATGGAAAAGCAGAGCACTGACATAGAGGAGAGCTCTAAGCCAGGTGGACAAGATGGCCCTAGACTGGCACAGGCATGGTGGAGGTGGAAGGGAGAGGAGGTCCTCTGGGCAGAACTAAACCTCTCCTCCAACCCAGCACCTCACTTTTATTGGGGGAGTGGGAGACTGGAGCACTGCCAAGAGAGAGAAGGGGGTGTCTGGGAGTGGCATAAAGGTCTCAGGAGTGGGTGGTGCAGGGTGCAATACCTGCCATGGGCAGTGTGCTAATAGGTCACCCGGGGAGTGAAGGGACTTCCAGGTAGTATCAAAGGCCTAGTGATGTTGAAAACTCTAACCTGTAACACCTGCTCCAGTGTCCCCGCTTATTCTTTGGCAAATGTGGTGGCAAATGTGGTGGCAGGGCTGTCCAGGGGCTGTGTCATAGTGAGATGTTAGGGTGGGACAGTGGTCATGAAGACAGGCAGCAGGACAGAGGGGCTCAGAGTTCTGGGATGAGTCTGCTGAGTAGCTGAGGCTGAGAGGCACATCTGACCAGAGGAGGCTAAGGCAAAATTCATGGGGTCAAGGCCATAAAGGACTGAAAGCCAGGGAATTAGATCCTACTTTGAGAGGAATGCTGGGCCAAATAAGCAGCCCAAGCCCAGTACTAGCACTTTGGATGGATGCGGCAAGGTGTCTGGATCAGCTGTCACAATGCCACTGATACAGCTGTTGTGACAGCTAAGAGCTTCACAAGGAACAGGAGAAAGCTAAGCTACCTCCACTTGGGGGCACTGCAAAGAGAGCTGGAGGGCGGGTGCATTACCAGGAGCAGCACAGAGCTTGTTTATGAGCCCAGGGATGCAAAGAGAGGCCAAGCTTTCTTTCAGTGGCTCTAGAGCCCCAGGGAAATTAAAACGCTAGGTCAGCATGGGGCAGCTGAGGCCACCAGTGGTTTTGCTCTTACTAGCTACGTGACCTTGGGCGAGTCACTGCCCACCCATCCCTCAGCATCAGCCTAAAATCAGAAGTTATCTCCAGCCTAGGGCTTGTATGCCTCAGGGGATAGGAGAGCAGGAGCTGCTGGTAAATAACAGGAGCGGGATCTGAGCAGATGGGCCAGGGGCAAGGACACCTGTGAAAACAAAACACTGGTGATAGAGCTGTCCCTTCCCTCTCCTCCCTAGTGACCTGGATGAGGAGGAGACTTAGAGAGGTAGCACACGGCCATGGCTCCAGCCTGAAGCCCACCCAGGACTGGCCATGCCATCAGAAATCTTCTGCCCCACCCCCAGCAGTCCCTCAAACCCTGTCTTTCACCTCCCTCTCATCCTGATTCCTCCCACCCACCCCGAAAATAAAGGAACCAAAAGTGGACACAAGTGTGAATCTTAAATTATTATTTCTTCCTGTCGCTTACACCCGAGTGGGGGGGCAGGGCTAGGGGAAGGGAATAGGAGAGGGGGGGACACTTCCCCCCTAAGGCACTGACTTGGAAAGCCGCCAGTAGGGAGAGGGGAGGCCACATTGACCCACTCTCTAGGGCCAGGCCCCAGGTCTCCCTGCCCTGGGCTCCATCACCTGAAATGCTAAGGTGAGGCCCAGGGCACCCGACCTCCCCTCCCACCTTAATATATTACATCATCACTTTTTAAATAGATTCAGGGACTGGTTTCACTACCCCCTCCCTGTGACCACTCCCCACTGTTGGGGGTACCTGGGCAGCTGTGCAAATGGGCATAGGGGAAGGGGGGAGAGCACCGGGCCCCTGAACCTGCCCCTTTTAAGGAGGAAGGGGGCCACCAGGCCAAGGAGGGAAAATAGTGCAAGGCGGAGGCCCAGGCCGCAATGGGGGTCCAGCACCCAGCAAGGAAGGGGTCGGGGCCACTCCCCCACCCCAGCAGAATGGGAGAGTCAAAAATCTGAAACTAGATTTTCAACAAGACCAACAGAAGAGGCTATGTACAGACGGGGGTAGATTCAATCCTAGGGGAAGTGAGGGAACCATCTCTGCCCCACAAGAAGACTGGCTGGCAAGGATCTGAAAAGAGGTCCCTCTCCCACAGGCCGAAACCCGTCACCTCGGAGAGGGGGCGCCAATCTACCGGCCGCGTCTCCTGGGTGGGCAGGAAGACAGCTAATGCCCAGCGGCCGCGGGGGGCGCTCGCTCACTTGTACAGGGCTCGGCCGCCAGGTGGCACCGGCTCGCCCGCTGCCTGCCAGGCTCCCCAACCCCTCACCCGGTCCCACACCCTGCGCCCCGCCAGCCCGGGGGCAGCGTGAGTCAGGGGCGGTCGAGGTGGCGGCTCCGGCTCACACCTGGGCGGGGAAGAGGTGGGGAGAATACGGGAGACGCCACCCGGCCCGCCCTGCCCTCTGGCCCCGGGGAGGGAGCGGCGGGAACAAGACATTCCCTGCCCGGGGACGCAGAGGGAGGAGGGAGGGATAGCTGCACAGCGGCTCCCAGTGCTGGGCGGGGCCCTCCTGCCCCCAGGGGCGGGCGAGCAGATCAGGCCACCCCGCCCCTCTTCTCCAGGACCCCATGACTCAGCGCTGGAGCAGGGCAGAGGGGACTGCGATGGCTTCTTCCTTACAGGCCCAGGCTTTTCCCCCGCCACCCTAGCCTTCAACCTTCTACCTTGCTTTCCCCACCTACCCTTCTTTTGCCACTCCTTTTGCATAATTCACTGCTGGGAAAAGGGAACAGAAACCAGGAAGGAGGGGCAGTCCTTCACCCCTTTACACGGCCAAAACCTCCAAGAGGCATGGGAGCAGGGGCAAGACTTTGGTCCCAAGCCCCTGCCTTCTAGAAACCCGCATAGCCGAAGTGGGACCACACAAATCAGAAATACATTATTGCTTCTGCTCCCCAGGAGCAGCTGGGGACAGGGAGCCCACCTTTACAACAAAGCTGTAAATATACACATAATATCATATGTATCACTCATGGGGATTGCCCCAATCCAGAGTCCCTGGCCCAAAACCTCCTCAGCTCCAAACTGGAATGAGGGCTCTGGGGCAAAGGGGCTGACGTGCTTCTGAGCTCAGCCTTGTTTGCCCATGCTCCCATTGCTTGGCATGATGTCCCCAGCCTTTGCTGCTCCAGCCTAGCCACCTGTGCCTCTTTAAGAGGATTCCACAGCACCTTCAGCCTGGGGTGTAGTGGGTGCCCCCTCCTCCTCCTCCTCATCAGGAGGCCCGGGGGTGGAGACCGGAGCCCCTGAGGGGGCTGACTGCTCCCAGAATCGAGCCAGAGAAAGGCGGAAGGTGTCCAGGTGGCCATTGGAGAGGTCAAGGCCGGCAGGAGATGGGGTGGCGGTGGAGGGTGGTGGGTAGTGGGGTGGCGCATCGTCCTTGCGGCGCCGCCGGGTTCGCACCTCCAGGCAGTTCTGGCCTTTGAGGTGGCGCTGCAGGTGGTCCTCCTTGGCAAAAGCCTTGTGGCACAGGTGGCACTCATAGGGCCGGTCCCCTGTATGCAGGTGCATGTGGTTCTTGAGGTCGTAGCTGTGCAGGAAGCGAGCTGGGCAGTGTGGACATGAGTAGGGCCGTTCCCCTGTGTGCTTCCTCATGTGGATCTTCAGCTTGTCATTCCTGGTATAACAGGGGTGGAAGGAACACAAGAAGTGGTCAGGATGGGATCCCAGCTCATCCTAGTCACGCCCCCAGGCCTTGTCCCACTCCCACTCACTCATCTCATCACTCCATTCTTCCCTCCTTCCACTTGCCTCCAGTTTTATTAGGCCCTGCCATTGTCACTTTCTGCCTCCCTTGTGACCTTCTTAGCCACCAGCCCACCCCACCCCCATTCTCCTGGTTTCTCCTATCATTCCACACATACTCTCATCTCTAGGACCACCTGCACCCACTCAGATCACACACCCCAATGCTCTCCCGACCCTGCTGGCGCCCGATGCCCCCTTGGTGCTCACCTGGTGAAGCGGACACCGCAGACCTCACAGACAAAGGGCTTCTCACCCGTATGGGTCCTCATGTGGCGTGGCAGTTTGCCTGCTCCATGGATTATCTTGTGGCAGACTGGGCACTCCTGGGGCATCTGGGAGCGGCGTTTACGAACCAGCTTGTCTTGGCCATCCAGGCCTGGTGCCAGGGCATCCTGGTGCAGGGAACTCAGATAGGCCATCAGGTCAGGATCAATGGCATCTTCATCAGAGCCCAGCTCCTCTGGGGACAATGGGGGCCCACTGCCTTGTGCCAGCCCATAAGCTGGGGTATAAACCAGCTCCTCCTCCTCTTCTTCCCCTTCATAGCCCTCGTAGCTCAGGGGCCCCTCAGGAGGTGAGGCAGTCCCTGTGGGAGGGCTGTAGCTGTCGCCTAGCCCACTGCCCCCACTGCTGCCCACCCTGCCTACTTCTTCCTCCTCATAGGTCAAGGGGTGCGTGGGCACTGCAGCAGGCACCTCAGGTACTAGGTGATTTGCCCGGGCTCCCTTGGTTTGCAGGAAAGCTTTACGGGGCTTGCGGCTGCGGCGAGCAACAGGCCGAGGTGGTGGCAGCGGTGGTGGTAAGAGGGGCACCTGTGGAGGGCTATCTTCACCATTGGAAACTCCTGAGGCTGAGGCGGTGGCGGTGGCGGTGGCAAAGGCCTCTAGGTATTGTCGGGCTCGCTCACAGTCATCCTCATCTGGGCTGGGAGCCTCCAGCCCACTGCCTTGCAGAATCTCCATGCAGGCAGCAATGACACAGGGGATCTCCAGCAGACGGGCAGCCTGGAGCACAGCCGGCATGTTGGCGCTGCTGGTGGTCAATGTGGCTGTGTAGGCAAATTCAAGCAGGGCACCCAGTGCCTCTGGCCCTACAAAGTCCAGCTCACACACACCAGCCCCGGCTCCTCCAGCAGCTGTCCCACCACCCCCTGCTCCCATGACGGCCCCGCCACCACCCTCGGTGAAGAGCTTCTTGAAGTAGTGGCTGCAGGCGGCCAGCACAGCCCTGTGTGTGCGGTATTCAAGGCCTTGCGTCCGGATGGTGAGGTCACATAGGTGGCCCAGCTGGCGCTGCTCATTGAGGCTGCTCAGGAGCTCACTGCTGTGGTCTGGGAATGGAATTCCAATCAAGTCATCTTCAGGGCTCCCCATCTTCTCCTGCAGGGTCAAGCAGAGGGGGAAGTTAAGATCATTCAGCTCTCTGAGGGCACTGGGAAAGGGATGCTGACACTGTCCAACACTAACTGAGGGATGGCCACAAGCCACAGCCTCTTCTAGGTGCTGTACACCCTTACAAAGTATGATAATCACACACAAGAAAACTAAGTTCAAGCAGGCAAAGTAACTTTAACTGAGTCACATGTGGCAGAGGGTATAAGTCCTGTGGTGGTCTATGTCTATGTCTATGTCCCCAGAGTCTATGTCCATGTCACCATAGGATTATGAGCCACCTCTAGAATAGGAACCCTCCTGTCTGGCTCTGCTGCAGAGACCGTGCTTTACCTGCCCCTTTCCCCATCCCTCCAGAAGAAGCTCTTGGCTGGCTCAGGCCTCATAAAGTATTGGCTGAGGGACTCGGGTGACTTTAGCAACTGGCCACTAAAAACTGGGTAACCATCTTTGTCACAGAACCTCCTCATAGCATAGGAGGGGCCAGTGAGAGTTCAGATTCACTGTGGACCAGGTTCTCTTCTATGGGGCTTAGGACACTGTAAGACATCGCACAAATGAGAGGCCCCTCCAAGCACCATCTTCTTCTTCCTTATCACCAAAAGTGTATCTCCTCTTTGAGATACCCCTTCTAGAGGCCAAACCGGAAACAGTTCCCAGCATCCCTTCCCCCACACCCTCCCCTCCCCCAAGAGGCCTAGGAGCAGCAAAGCTTTGCTGGGGTGTCAATGGCGAGGGTGCTTCCTGCCCCACACAGATAAGCATCACCCCCGCCCCCACCCCCGCCCCCTACCCTACTGCCAATAGGCCAAGTTCCAGTCCCACCCCCATCCCCCCAGCTACCAGCCACCTCTCCCTCCCCATTCCAGGTCAGCATTACCCTCCACACAGCTGTAGGCCCCCTGAACGCTCCCCTCACAGGTGCCCAGCCATAAGATGCACAGTGTAGGGGCAGCACAGGCCAGGTCAGCAGGGTGGGAGACAGGGTTTGTGGCCTGACTCTGCCTGGAAGTGGGGAGACTGGCTTGGAGTCCTGGCTTTGCTCTTCTATCTTGCGGAATGACCTTGGGCAAGTAATTTCTCCCCATGCTTCCCTGAACTGCACAAGAGGTTGGAGTGGAAGCCCTGAGGGTTCAGTCCTTCAGCCCTGACATTTGTGTGGGTCCTGAGTAACAGGAGACATTTTCTTGGGTCCTGGAAATAGCTAAGTTCTAGGGTTAGTCAGGCTTG